CTCCCGTCCACAATTTCTCGTAATCACTTTAGAAGAATAAAATCTTGTCGGACTTTGACGAAATTTTCTTTAAGTGTTTGTAATCACCCCAGGATGAACCCTATTGAAAATCAAAAAAATGTTTAATATGAGTTGTTGTCCTTGTTCTTAAGCTACACTGTAGAAGGGACATTTATTTACGAATTTAGACGAAACTTGGTGTGAGTGTTTGTTATCACCCAAGGCTGAACCCTATCGAAATAAAACTGAATTATTGCCCTTGTTTTTGAATACACGCGTTCGCTTTTTAGTTCGTACACACACTAGAAGGCACAACTATTGACGAAATTTGAAGTGAGCGCACACACAACGGCAATTACTTTAAAGCCGTTCATCCAATTATTACCAATGTCGAACTTGGTCGAAATCCCATTAGTATATACATGCATACCAAGTTTCATCAAGATCGGATAAAATCTGTAGACTCTATTGTGCATACAAGCCAAATTTGACGCGATTTTATTAAGTCAAGGGCAATAACTCTGAAACCGAACTCGATCGAGATCTCATCAATATATACATTCATATTAAGTTTCAGTAATATTGGTTAAAAATTGTAGTCTCTATTGTGCCATTGTGCGACAGTATATACGTTCACATTTCCAAGTGGGCGTAAAACAAATATTATTTTAATATGAGTTATTGTCCTTGTTCATGTTCATTATTCAAGTGCGTTTGATGCCCTTTTCAGTTTTCAGACACTGACCTTCACTACTGGATTCCATTCTTGAGGCGACGTTCACAGTATCACCAAACAGACAATATCTGGGCATCTTTATTCCCACAACTCCGGCAACGGTTGAACCTGAAAAAAATTACTCAGAGGTAAAAAGTATACCTTTCATACCAGAATTGTTTGCTCGCAGCACTTGCCTTTTCTAAGAAGTCTGCTACCCATAGTAAGTCAGCCAAAGTTTGCGAAACATCAGGTGAGTGGCCAAGCAGGGGCCACAAAATTGTCGGGGGAGAGGGCGAGGGGGGTGGCACAGGCCATTCTTTCACTGTGAAAATTTTGAAAAAAAAATTGGAAAGTGAGGGGTGGAAGCCGGGTCTTTTCTGGAGATATGGTGTGTATAATTTATGATGTTTTTGATAATGAGAATTAACGGTCATACTCCCTGAAACCAAATATATTTTTTTTTTTCAAAATTGATCATCACTATCCAAATTAGATGTCCTGATGATAATTTTGGGTTCAAAACAATTATCGACAGCATTGATTAAATTAGCATTGGTAAATCAGAACGATAGCACAATGTTTACATATATTTTTAATCAAATGAAATCAATTTAATAATAAAGTAACATTGTTTTGCGTTGCGAATTGCTTTTAATTACACAACATTTTCTGAAGCTTAATGGACTCATAATGGTGATTAGAAAAAGCTTTTATTGAAAACTTAATGCTTGAGCGATTTTAATTATTGGTTCGCCGTTCACGTTTCGGATACATAAATAGTAAGTAGCTTATACTTGGCGATTTAGGTAATTCTGCACTTTGTAAAAGGGCACACACGTGTACTGGTTAATGTACTGGTAACACGAGTCGGAGGCGATACGGGGGGAGAGGGGCGTTTGCAGAAAAATAGTTTGTACCACCAATTCATTTCAAGAAATTTCAAACTATGATCTTTATACTTTTATTGTATATGTCAGAATCCACAAAATCAATACTACTTCCAAGAGGGGAAGGGGGCACTTATAGCACATGCACAGCGCTTCCTTATTTGAAATCTTAATTGAGCCAGGTTTACGTCCGAAGGGGGGGGGGGGGATAGGGTGAGGGGGGTGTCGAAATATCTTAGATTGCCTGAAAAACTTGCTTTCGGGGCTGCAAGAGGAGGGGGGGGGGGAGGTGATATAGTTTAATGATTATATTGGAGCTGTGCTCTTTGCTCCTTTTAGAAACCCTTTCCCTGAGAAATACACAAAGTCATACAATAATAAGATCTCATTCTTACCACTGTGCATTCCAATTCTTATTTGAAGTTGTCGTTTTGGTAAATGTGGAATCTGAAAGCCTTCGATGGCCACTCGTAAGTCTATGGACATTAAGGCTATTTCACTGGCGTGGTCGACCTGATTTCTATTGGGTAAACCACTAACAACCATGTAGGCATCACCGATAGTTTCTACTTTATATACGTCATATTCATCTATACATTCGTCGAAAGTTTGATATAATTGATTGAGAAAAGTGACCACTTGTAATGGTGTGCTTTCACCCGAAATCATAGTGAACCCCACAATATCACTGAAAAATATCGTTACGCTGTCAAAATGTTCCGCTGTTACTGTTTTACTCATCTTTAATTGCAGAGCTACACTTTTAGGTAACATTCGATACAGCAGAGCATCCGAACGACTCTTTTCTCTGTCCAATTGATTGGATTTTTCCATCGCTTGCGAGGCATATAGTTGAACGGAAGTCGTAAGTGAACGCATCAGGTACACTAGTATTGGCGTAATGATCAAAGCCAGGACAAAAATAGAAATGGATATGAAGAGGTGAAGTTCAGAGTCAAGTATTTCCTCTTCAATTCCAATAATTAGTTTGTTTTTAATGTCGTGTTCGATACTGCGAAATATATTCAAATATTCCGAGATGTTTCTATGAAAATTGGTCCCGGCTTCATGCGATGCTGCAGGGAAATTATTAACAGAGAAAAACTTCGTGAAATTAACGACGCTAGTAAATATTTGTCTGTGCGTCTCATTATTTGTTGCCAGCAAGGTTTTAGCATCTTCAGAATAACTCTGAAAGGAATCCATCCGTTCTTTAGTAATGGCTAGCTCTTCTCTAAGATGAATATACTCCTGCAAAGGTAAACTTCCTTCTTCAAAGAATATAATGCCCAAAGACAGTGTAATTCCAATACTTTCTTCAGACTGGATAATAAACTTATAAGCAACCAAATTTTGCCACAAACGTCCATGTTTCAAATTTTTCACTGCACTCATCAAGCTGTTAAGCAAACATGTATTCGCTCTTGTGTAAAATTTCATGGCCGAGAAGCTTTCATTGGACGTTAAATTCTGATTTAGTAATCGATGGGTTGAGAGATAAGGGACGAAATCTTTTTCTGTAGAATTAATGCAATCGGGTATGTTCTTCGTATCATTAAGAAGCATATCAGTTGTAGTATACGTGTCTATTAAGTACGACGTGTTTCCCGTTTCCATAGCCAAGATGTTGTCGGCTCGTTCTTTCTGGATAGCTTGAATCAAATTGCCATAATCGTGAGCGATTTCCATCTGCTCTTTAGTGTCCTGGAAAGCTTGGGTTTCTTCAATAGCTTGCAAAAGCCATATTGTCGCAAAAGTTACAAGACCTACTAACGGTAACAAAATAAGAGTAAGAACTCTCACCATTTGAATAGTTTTTCCTCTTGAAGATATTGGATCCGCGTAACACACGTTTGATTTCATTTTTACAACTTTAGCTTCTCCTATGACGTTCGTCATAGAGAAGGTGCTCGCATACAGGTCCAATGTCCAACAATTATTTAATTCCCATAAAATAATTGAGATCTCTTAAGAACAAGGTCGAAAACTTACACGGAAAACTTTTCCAACAAAACGTTTGTATCTTACGACGATGTTGCAGTATATCACTATTCGCAGTTAAATCCATGATCTCCAATAATGCAACAAAATTTATTTTTGTAGATACATAAATGTATTTGTTTATGCGACAAAAATCCCTTACAAAGATGTTGGTCCTTTTATGGAGGTACGGTATCAACACGTGTAACAGGACAAACAACGTTTCCTTTGCAGTATTATAATATTGTAACAATAGTTCCAAACTCGTCTCGAAGTGTAGACATGATAATAAGTTCTACGTATCCATCTTCAGTAGCCTACGGACACAGGCTGATAATAGGTCAGTTGTCTGAAGATTGCATATATAGCGAAAAACTCTGAATAACATTTTTTTAAGGTTCTGTTTTGATATTTATAACAATAGTTTCATATTACCAAATAACTAACAAAAGCTTTAGAAATCGTGATTGTGTTTCACAACGGTTACACGGAGCGTTATGAAATCACCACTAATTACAGGAAACTTCTTTCGGCGATGAAAATCGACAAATACCACCAACTTACTTTCTGTCAAAGAACTTATTGAATTGAAGTCATATAAAAATCGTTGAGTCCTTTGACATCTTTTTATCAGGTGTAAACAGAAATCAAACCAGATCGGTATTTCAAACATTAAAAGGTTCTCAGACGATCGTTATTTCCTGAAGAAAAAAATGATTTTTTTAAAGAGACATGTTCATCTAAAATTATGTTCTCGTATACTAATAAAATCTAAATAATATGCTCAATACGTGTAGTTATCCTATCAATTTTCCGAATTGGAAATTGAAATCTTGTTCTCCTGCGATTATGACTGATGACGTCATATAATAAAAACGAGTAACGTCAGTAACGATCGCCAAATCTACGACGTTACGTTTTTGTTTGATTTTGAGAAACGGACGCCGTATTGAAATTGCAATTTATTCTAGCAGCCGGTAAATCAAATATTTAGACGACCATATCCCTTTAAATGTATGATTCACAAGCAAAACTTCTAGGCAGTGACGGAGCAAGTCATTCGAAACTGGGGTACAAATAGGGTCGAGGATGAGATTAAAATTGCAGCAGTTCTAAGACAATTCTCCCAAAGATGTTATTTCAAAAATGCAATGGGTTTTTTTAAAAATTGGAATTGACATATTGGGGCAAAAACGTATAAAACTCATATTTTTTGATTTGTTAGAAATGAAGTTGGGTGAAATTTAGTGCTGGCACGATATATATCGGTGAATCGATGTATCGCAATATGACATGCCACTATACACGTATCGTATCTCAACGTTATGTATCGATACTTGGTAGTCACTGAAATTGTAACAAACTTTTTATAAGACAGTGTATCAACTATATTACCAAATATCACAGTTATAAAGTTATAAATTAATATATATGGAAACTTTAAAGATAAAAGTGTCAATTTTTAACCCGTTACCCCATATCAAGATATGTATGGTATCGTGACCCTTGTATCGCGATATGTATTGTATCGTGACATGATTGACGATACCCAGCACTAATGCGATCGGGAAAACAAACTATTTTTTACGTGAATAAATACACACCTTGTACCTCCCACTGGAGCTGAAACTACTAGGCTCTGTAACTATTTAAATCACCGGTTTTAGTGGAAGTGACACAAGCTACTCTCTCAGATACCATTTTAACGCACTATTCTTGCAATGTCTCGGCACAAATACGCACTTACATTGGCATCAAATGGTATATTGCAGGCTTCAGACAGAAGATTGTAAATCTATAGCAAACTCAAGTTACAAAATACCGTGAAACAATGCCATTATGTAACCGTAGAGCTTCCGGTAAGAACTTGCGTGCAGCAACGAATTATACAAGAGTTTTTATAAACGTGACTTACCTCATAATATACTTGATAAAAACAAATAGTAGAAACTCTGTTTTTTATACACATCAAAATCCCTGAAACTAATTGATTGGTATGGTACTGATTGAAGCAATGGAATGTATGTAAGCACTAAGTTAACTTCAATAATAAATGTAGGCCTACTAAATGTATAATTATGATGAATATCACCTAGTAATTAGAAGGTTTTAAAATACAAGAGGATTACTGATAGAATTGTCTTCAGCAAACCTTAATTAATATGATGGTGACTGATAAATAATACGATCAGACCAGTAATATGTTGGCGAGACTCAAAATGCGCTTCGAACGCGATTCAATGGCCATCGCTATGATATAGTGCATGGCAAGGATAGACCAATTGCGAATCACTTCAACCTTCCCGATCATTCCATTGATGACCTTCTCATCATGCCTATAGAAACAGTTTCTACATCACCTAGCATGAAACCTAAGCTTAGACGTCTACAACGCGAAAGTTATTGGATCGATCAACTGCAGGCTGTGAGGCCAAATGGACTCAACATTCAACATGATAACCAGATAATACCCTTTATAACGACATTTGATTCTACAGCTACCAAAGCCTCCATAATAGTCAAACGCCATTACTCGGAACTTCAGAACAAATTTCCCACAAAACGTTTGGTTGTAGCTTACAAAAGAAATCAAAATCTTAGCAATTTCCTCTTTCACGGTAGACTTGAACCATTGAACAATGTCCATTCATCCTAGGAGCATAGATTTGTTAATATAAATGTATCATGTTCTATCAATAAATTAATCTATTTCTGAGTTAGATTTCAGGGAATACTTATTTCAGGACTGGTGCCATGTCTATATACAGTATATTATATAACATGCAGTGTATGTTTGTGTGTGTGTCTTTTCAACTAAAATCATACTAATGACTAATTAATTTTCACATAATTAATAGACTTATCTATTGCTCTGTGACCTAGGCCAGTGCTTTCATTGAGACTCGTCTCAATACACCCTAACACCAGTTTAAAGTTTTCTTATCACGATATACTTATTTGATTTGATTTATTCATTTTTGAAATGTCTAGCAGGTTAATTGATATTTTTCGAAGCTTACGGTTTTATTTTAGCTTAGTTTATTAACGCTTTATTAAAGATGGGTTCCCTTATTTTCATTTATGAAATGGAACTGCTAATACTAATATGAATAGAAAATGCAACTGTTCTAATGACTTGGAAAAATACCTGTTTGTCTCGCATGACCATGACTAATTCATAATAAGAGAATTGCCAGCAGAATTCGAGTGAGTGACCGATCAAGAAAGGTTAGAAAGTCTTCTTTTGTTTATCCAGACTGTACATACATGGACATATATGATTGGTTAAAATCTCTTTATTATATATGCAATAAGAACATAATGATATGATTAAGAAAACACGATAATTCATTAGAAACACCAATTAATCAAATAGTTTGCTTAATTTGACACTAAAAAAAACAAGGAAAGCCATCTTTAAGGTTAAACCTGTGGTGTTTGCCAGAAAAGATGCTGGTCCGACTTTGCTTTCCCCCACTTTCAAATTTTTCATCTCTTTACATAGCAAAAGAATGACCTCTGATCCCTGCATAATCTTGTGGCCGCTGCCCGATCCCTCACCTGGTGTTTTCTAGAAACGCCACTGGGGAAGGGGAGAGGGGGGGGGGGGCATTTGCTAGAGGTTGAATCCTAAATACGGCAGCGTAATAGGCGCAATCCTCCCATGGAACGTTTGAGAGGGTTCTGCTACGTCAATTTTTTAAAAATAAAATTGATTTGTTGCGTTCTGACCTATATTTTTCTTTTGGGAGGGTGGGGGCTGGGTGTAGTTAGGGTACTGGCACCGACACTGTGGGAACGTTCACGCATCACTTTACAAAAATCTACCTGGTGTTATTAATTTCAGCTTTTAAAGAAATATATCGTTAATCAATGGTAAACTGTTATAATGAGTATTAAATAGACTATATAATTACAAAGCACAGCCTCTCTTTTTACCCGGAAGTCGTTTTTTTTTAAAGTAAGAAAAGGACATTTTCTTATTGAAGAGATTGTATTGTTATAAGTACTGGGCGTGGCTACCACCAGGACCTTATGTAGTGACAATCGAATCCAAATCAATTTAACTAGCCTACTTCTGGGAAAGTAAACCTAGTTAACTATTCTGATGAGGATTTTGTATCCAAAAGACTTGTTGACAGCATGATATGAACTATAATGGGTTATAGTCAATACATCGTATCACGAATACGGGTTTCGACATAGTCTTTACCGCGAGGCAGTATGACGAATGTGGGTGTGGTTTAAACACGATGTGGTCAATTTGGTCCCAACAGTCAAGATAGCTTCAACTTCAGAACTACACTTCTTTGCCACTTTTTGGGCAATACTGAATAATATTTTGTCAAAACCCACAAGAACCGTGCCTTTTAGTGTTTATGAGCTAAAAATTAAAAGCGTTTTCAAGAAAAGGTCAATAACCCCTAAAAAATATTTTTGATTTTTGGATTTTCAATAGAAATCATCCTTAATACTATTGATAATAAACAATTCACCAAATTTCGTCAAAATCCGTCAAGAATTGTGCCTTCTAGAGTGTTTACGAGCTAAAAATTAAATACGTTTTCAAGAACAAGGGCAATAACTCATACTAAATGCCTAGCAACGGCCCTATCTATAGTTGTCTTGGTGAGGATTTTGCATTCAAAACACACGAAGAGTATGTTGTATTCCTGCAATTGAACTTCCAGTGGTCCCAACCTCCATTAGTTTTATATATCAAATTATCTTAAGCCAGTGTCCGTGATTTGGACTAATGGATTGTTTCTCGGATTATATATTATTTCAACCAATAGAATTCTGTAAAACGATTTTCTGCGCGACTCATTGTATTATGTTACTAAACTTCCGCTATGGCCGCCGTAACAAGAGTAGTAAGTTTTCTCTGACCTTTAAAATGTCTTTGATATAAATACACATATGAAAAATACACTGGGAAAGAACTTATTGCCATATAGTATTGTCATTTTCATAAGACGTGTTTTCCCCAAATTCATAGCAGCTCAATTTCTCAATGAATGTTAGATCTTTTGGTCCACTCCAGCCAAACCAAAATTGAAAATAAAATTCAAAAGTTCTGCTTCCACTGCATGAGTGCTTGTTGAGACTTCTGTATTATGGTCCGACCTGTGTCACATAATTTCTGATTAATATTTCTACATTGTTCTACAATTGATATATTGTAATTTCATTTTTGAATGAAATATCACTTCTTGGAGTTTACATTAGATTGCTTCTGGATTAATTGATGCAAAAAAACGTTAGGCCTACTTGGAAATATAATTGTTTAGGAAAGATTTTTCAGTCTGAAGTGTATCATTTTCACACTACTCTTTGGCTATAGGCCCAGGGATGTAATCAAGGAGGGTCATGATGGTTGTGTAACCCACCCAACAGAATTCACAGAAGGTCCACATTTGTTCTAGACAAATAAGACAACTGACACTGCATTACTTGCAACTTACCATGTGCTACTCTGACATGAAACAACTGTAAATCACAAAACTTGCAGGATGTTATTTATAGTTTGGTGTTAAGATGTACTGAGACGAGTCTCAATGAAGGCATTGACCTACTGCTATAACACACATAGTATACAGTACACAAGGCTTTCAACACAATTTACATGACCATGTCCTCATATCCTCTGACAAAAAATCCCCCTAAACCATTTTTTATGCCTTGATCCGCCCAGGAAAAGTTCTCTGAAATTATGATCACAATTTTTTTTTACGTAAGACAGAATTTTTGACTTTTTACGACAAAATATTACACTTAAGATCATCTAAAGGAAGTTCTTACACATGTTTCACTAGCAAACTTACGAAGATCTTAGCTATGAAGGATTTACGCACACAGTCCACAGCATTGTTTTGTTGAATTTACATCTTTTTTCGGAAAATGAATATATTTCATAAAACTCTTAAGTCCCCTAAATACTTATAAAAAGTCTACAGTGGTGAAAATTTGCTAATATTCCCTCAAAATGGTGGTAAGATTTTGAAGTGTGAAATAACGTCACCTTGACATTTACGACGTCATCTTAACTAACGATTGACAGTCAAAAAATTGAATGGTCATAATAGCGAAAATAAGGCAAATTATGCAGGGAAAAGCAGCCAAAATTTCTTAGCGTAAGAATTTCAGTGAAACTCAAACTCAAGATTTTTTCCTACGTAAGGCAGATTTAAGAAAATTTTGAACTTAAGAAATTTAGGGAAACGGTGCCCTGATCTCTAAATGGGAGCCCTCATTTCCCTTTCTTATTTTCCATTACCTACTCACTGTCCATTGCACACCACATCATGTACAAGTACTGAAGCATTCCTATAGAAGAATACCTACCTACTGCTAAATTATTTTGTTAATTGGTTTTTTTTTTTCAGACTGGTCGAACAGGTTTGCTACCAGCAACAAATCCTCACTGGGTAGGTTATTTATTTCCTTGTTTTCATATATTGAAATATATACCACCATATAACCATATCTACAACCATTTTATATTAAGTGGAGGTTCCTTACAGCTTACACTCTTTCAATACGGTATTTGAATATATTAAATTTATTCTAATTTTAGAAATTAACTATACTGTATGAGAAAATATTAGCAACTTTAAGTAAAATGCCACAAGAGGCTGGCTACAGAAAACATACAGAAGCTTTGATTAAAGAAAGAGAACACATTGTAAAAACTGTAAGTATATTGAATGACATCTTCACAATGATGAAGGTTTGGCATCGTCATCTTATAACTTGACTGTAATGTACCTCTTTCTTGTATCACTATCAGCGATTTGATTGGATTTACATCAGTGAATACACTCAGAGTCCTTCATTTCATGCGTAATCCTTCTGCTGAAGCCTGAGGGCTCAGATTGGTTGTATGCGATAGCATATATTCCAATCATAATGCTGAATTCATGAGTTTCAGTGAAACAAGAAAGTGGTATATTGCAGTCAAGGTATAAGACGTAATACCACGACCATTGATGACTGAATAAGGAAACGCTAATATCAGTAATAATATCGTCCTTGTGGTTGGCGTTCCGAACCAACCAGTGCACTTTTAGAATATTGGAAGTAGAAAATGATACAATGCTAAGATTAAAGGGACAGTAGCTCCATTTTTTTAGAGTTCATTTGAGTCTTGATTATATGTAAATAGTCTTCAGAAGTACTAGAAACATACAAAAATGCACAATTACTTAAAAAAATATCTCAGGACACACTTGGATTTCGATGGTGAGCTATGAACTCTGTTATTGATTGGCTTAGCTTAAAAATTCCTGTTTCTGAGACTAAGGTATGATTGGTCAAAAAAATGGCGCAACTGTACCTTTAAGGATGGTAAGTTATCATACTATGGTCCAAAACTAATGTATTTGAATGTAATAAGTAATGATTTCATCATTGTGGAATCCAGATTATTCATGTATAACTTAAAGGGCCAGTAATGGTATGCAAAGTTTTACTTTTCATCAAAAACGTCATCAATAAATTATACCTGAAATTATTTCATAAATATGTTATTTACATCTATATTATCTTCTTGATGAAACTAAATTGGTTTTAAAAGAGTTAATTAAAAAGTATTATTTTATGATTAAGCTTTGTTTGGTGTTTGGCTTTTTAATGGCTTGATATTATTAGTTGAAACTATTTAGACGTTTATAACAGCTTCCAAAAATCATAAACTTAAAAAGCTTACTAAATTAGATTTGGCGTTAAAAAATGAACGGTTGGATTTTTTTTAAGGAAAACGTCAGATACATTATCGAACACATTTCTCTAGATTTTAGTGTAAACATGTAGTTATCATAATTTGGACACAAAAATATTTTACTATCTACAAAAAAGCAGAATGCCATGTTTTCTCTTGCCATGTTTTCTCATCTCATGTTGATATGAATGATAATAATCATTACAAATTAGTTGTCTTATCATTATATTTAATAATATAGTACTATTAGTGGTTTTGTTTTTAAGGAACCTGATGTAGCTAAAGTAGAAGCGAAAATAAATAATGGTCTAATTGAAGAGTTGATATTACAGGTATGTCAAATATTATGAGTAGAGCTGGATTGATTATCGATGGCAGATTATCGAATATTAGGCTTGAGATTCCCAATGCGGAAAGGTCAATGGGTATGGTATCCCCCAAAACATTTGTGAAAAATAGAATTGGTTTGGTTCAAATTTCATGGGAGTACAATTTGGGATAAACAATTATTTAAGTTAGATGGTGTGATACAGCTAAAGATTCATTAGAAAAGAGAAAGCTTATTCCAACATCTTTCATGAAAATTTCCTTCATGCTATGAGTCCTTCAGATTTTTCAACCTGGTTACCCCCTGTCAGTGATGCAGTCGTTCAGATGAGACAATAAATCCTGAAGATCCCTTAACAGTTTGATAGAGTAGTCCTGACAAAATTTCCCTCATTGCACACTACATGACATTGCCCGTTTTTATTAGCCCAATCAAATGCAGAAGAGTAGAAATGAAAACTCAGTTTATTTCAGTTTGTTTCAATATGCTGCAATATTTTTTTTTTTAAATATTCTATTTAAAATTATATTTTTTTTTTAAGTTTCAATTAATTTTATTGATACCAAAATTAATGAATTACTTATTGTAATCTGTAAACTTTCAAATTTCTTTTTCAGGCTAGTAGAGAATTATCATTATCACGTAAAATGTTGGAATGGAAACCATGGCAACCATTAATAGAAGAAGCTCCTACCAACCAATGGAAGTGGCCAATTTAAACATAACTTTACACTGTGTAACATTATAAATGTTTATATTGTGATCTGTGAAAAACAAGAAAACTTCAGATAGTTATGACTTAGAATATATTTAAATGGTGTGAAAAAAAAATTTAAAATAAATAGTAAATTATATTTGATGTCTCTTGTACAACCTCAAAAACAACCTCATAACCTCAATTAATCTGAAACATCTACCTCTCTTCCAGCCTCTGATGAATATTTTGGAGGCTGGAGTAGAGTCAGAAGAAAAGGACCCTGATAAATGGGGATTTTCCACACCTCCTAAGATGTGTTTTCTCTAACATAATGTTAAGTACCTTTAAGATGATTGTAAATTAGTGTTAGGCACATAGATGTATACAATAAATAGCTCTATAGATGGGCATCATCGTAACTTTTGTTTGTTAGTATCACGTGACTCTGTGACCTTTGAACTTTTGATTGCGCACGCAGTTTTAGATGGCCAAAAAAAAAACTTTGATGGAACCATAAACAGGACATAAATGGTTTAGGGAGAAAATGATGGTATGACTGTCATTCGGATGGGGAAATAAACTGAATCCCCGTGCACTACAGGTTATACACGTTAAAGATCGCTGGATAGTTGGAAATCGAAAAAGTGTAAACAAATGCCTTTGTCCTGGAAACATTTCACATTTCACACTGTTTGGCGTTGCCATCTTCATTGGCCCAATAAGGTTGAGTAAAGTAGGACATAAAACTCCATTAATTTTATGGATTTTAAAATCGATTCGGTGACATTCCCATACCTTCTCCTAAGAAGTTGACATGTTTTAGATGTTGTCACTGTGACCTAAGCTATAAATAGAAACGCTGGCGTTTAAAAATAAGGTAAAAATTCAATTCGAATCTAAAGAAAACCCGAATGACCTAGAAAATGGCTCTAAATTGGGTGTCCGGCCAAATTATGCTTAATCACAGCGCATATGAATCTCTCAATACTTCTTAAAATCTGCAAGAAAATGCACTTTTAAACATCAAAATCTATTCTCTGGACAGAAATAAGGTATAATAAGTTAACAAAAATTAGAAATTAAAGGGATATCATTATATTACATGAACTACATCTATACAATGAATCGAGAATAGCGGAGGAAAAGTGATTCGGGGATCCCATTTTCCATTCGAAACAGGCTCAAGCGCAGACTGACTTGAAAATGGACTCGGATGGAAATCATTTATTTTCTGGCTTCCCTTTTAAATTGAAACATCTACTTTAGGCCCATGCTTTAGCTTCAACAAAAAAATGATAGATAAGCATACTAGAATGATCAACACAAAAGTCGTAAAATACCAATTAACGGTTAATTGAAAGACAATAGCCGCTATCCATCCTTATAATCACAATTCACTTGGCTCGTGACATTTACGGCAGGACTGGTATATGTCAGTGGGAGACATTGCTGTCAGTCTTAGAGCTAAGGAAATATATATAAACCCCAAGTTGTAGGGCACAATGCATCACTTGCTAGTTTTCATCTGATAACTATATCCACAGTCCTACTTGCTTACCTCGAAATGGATTCCATCTCTAATCTCCACGTGAACTTGTCCGAGACCGAATTTCGATTCAGAAGAGCCTGTGAACAAGTGGTTTTGCTGAACAACAAATTACAAGATCTTCAAGTTCGATACGATCGAGCAAGACGAGATGAGCTGCGTTCTTTCCGCTACAACATCCGTTTGAGAATGTCTGCTGTCGAAGGTGTGAGAAACGCTTA